AGTAGCTTAGTTCTTTTTGACCCCTTAAGGTTGCATAAAACAAAAATTGCCGAATTTTATGACAAGTGTTTTTTGAATTCCGTTGCAAATAAAATCTCTCCATTTCAATTTTCAAGCTCCGACGGAAAACATGACATCCTACACTGAATTGGATGATTCATTCATTTCAGAAATCAATGCAAAGATTATGTCCGTATGTTATATATATGTACGACTGTTGGAGGGCATCGACAAAGGCCATGGTGCTACGTGTACGTATGCTTAAGCCCCTTTTAGGCTTTCATAGTATTATTATGAATCATATTCAGTCTTAGACCCTATTCTTTTGAACACATATTTTAATAGAGTAGAACAGGTATTAGCAGAGTATAACATATTATTAATACTTAACAGAGTAAAACATAGTGGATTTCAGAAAAGTAGCGCAGACTACAACATCTTAAAAGAACAAGGTCTTACTTATTTTCAATTCAATTTAATTATGTTATGTTTAGGTCAATTAAAAATAGAGGTTTGCTTGCTCTAACTAATTTTTTTGTTCTTTCAATTTGAAATATATTTTTGTGACACTAAAAAAGTTAAGTGAAAGAGCAAAAATAATTGGGTATTAAGATTGATTTTTTAGTCTTTATATAAATTCATATGATTTTATGTACTGTAATTGATGTATGTGATCAATATTTTAAAAAATAGTTAATTACTAATTGATTAAAGTCATTAAAATTAATTTTCAAATATATATGAGGTTAGGAGTCCAAACTTAATTTGTTGTACATATAATATGCCAAGTATAATGATTACGGTAACTTTGTGAATGACTAAGGTTTTCATGTGCACCATCTTTTGATATGTGTGTCATAGGAAGACAAGTTTATTTCATTAAATTAAGGGTCTATTCTCATTGACAGAACTCATCAGCTGAGCTGATCAACTGAACTACTGAACTGAACTGAGCTGAGCTGAACTGAACTAAACTAAAATGAATATTTTATAAGAGAAGAAAATTAGGAGCTGAATTGAACTGAATTTCAACGTATGAGAACAGACCCTAAGTTTAGATAAAATTAATTGGAATGAGAATGAAGAGAAGTAAGAAAATCTTAGTACAGTTTTGGAATCCTGGGTTACAATTTACAAATTAAAGATCTTGAATTATAAAATCAATAAGTCAAGACCATTGGATTTTTCTTTGGAAAAACTTTGTATTGACCGCAAAACTTATAACGGTCTAAAGTATCTTAATTATACAAGTACACTAGTGTACCATGCACATTGTACACTTGCCTTGGAATTTGCTCATTTAGATCCAATAAAAATTCGTCACCTCTTTGGTGTCTTGTAAATGTGGTCTATGATTTTGCATGCAAGTTTGTTGTTGAGCCTTGTTTATATAGTGTACATTGCATGCAAGTTATTCCATATTGAAAAAAGAAAAGAGCACCTTAATAAAAATAATAATACCGTAAAAAAAATTTATCTTCTTAATCATAGATTATTACCCGTATCTATTTAAGTATTAAATTAAAAATACATTACAATTTTTATTTTTGTGTATAACATATAGCGTAATAAACATATGTTTTTACTAAATACTTACACTTTAGCTTTTTATTTGCAAATAAAAGCACCTGAATACATTAATTTCCTTATTTTAGATATTGAATCAACAACTCTATTAATGTTTATTTCACCAGAAAAATTAAGAATTCAATATCCTTTATTAAACATTTTAACTTCAACGTCACACAAACTATTCATTAACCAAGTGATAGCAACAAGACTACAACCTTCCACTTATATAAAGGAAGTACGTACTTCATATCCTTCCGTAAGGCATGTTAAAAGGTTCTCATTTCGAAGAGTAGTGATTTCTGGATTGTCCTTAATTTATCCAAAATAAGAAGTACGATCCATACATTAAATCACAATAATATCCATCATTGTGATGGAACTTGTCGCAACTTAATTGGTTGTCAAAAATCCTTACAAAATGGTACAATATAAAACCTAATCACCTAAAGAAACGACATTCTACTTAAGAAATTGTTCTTTTAAACTTATTTTAGGCATTTAATACTTTATTTAAAAGACTTAATTTAATTTTTGTTACCTATTAAATACATAACTAGGTTAAATCTCGTGTGCATACACGATTGTTAAATAATTATATATAATGATATTAAATTATTAAACATATATATATGTATATATATATAAAATAAAACAATCAACTCCACAAATACTAAAAAGTATGAAATAAAACAATACATTAAAACCGTGCGAGAGAAAATAATTTAACATGTAATATTTATTATTAAAGGACAATTTGATATTTAAGAAGTTTACATTAGATAGATTTTATATAAAGAAAAAGTCGTATTTAATTTATGTAAGTTATTTTGGAGGGAGAATTTTTAATAATATGTTGTCAATTGTCTCTTTTAGTTTCGTCTTTAGTAGTGCATATGTAATAGATAGATACATTCAAGTGTGTATTTACGATCTTATAAAGTGTCTCAAGCTAGATAATGGTGGAACTTGAATACACATTGTTACGAGGATCAAGGTTTGTTCCGATGAATTAGTCATCGAAAACCAACCCCCCCCCCCCCAAAAAAACAAAAAAGAGAGAGAGAGAGAGAGAGCTAACACGTACAATTCGATGTGAATGCATTTACTTTAGAGCTAATATGCGGAAAAATTATAAATTATTTTTTTTTCAATCTTTTCAAAATTAGACAACTTAAATAACTATTTTGATAGTGGTAATTTATGGAATTAGGGCGGAAATATAATTTACCATTTTCTTACCACTATTAGAAAATAGATAGACCTCTCATACGAACTCTAAAAAATACGAAGTAAGTTAAAACTAAAGAATTAAAAATATGAATTAAGATGAAATTAAAGAAGAAAAAGAGGCTAGTAGATGAATATGATATGGTAGGAACTAGGAAAGGGCAAGCCTATTAGAAGCATCACGTGTGGCATGCAAAAAAAAAACCTTAATTCAATAATATTCCAAGTACTGTACTTCTAATACATGGTACAATCTTTTTTTTTTTTTTAGGTATTTATAAAATTCAAAATATAGAGGGAAAAAAAAAGAATTAGCACTACTATAATGTTGGTTTAGGACCACATGAACAGGCAGTACAGATCATAAACAACAGATTTTGTGGGCTTGATAGATTGTACTAAGGTTAACTAACAACATAACCAACTAATTTGACAGCCTAATCAGATTCGATTGCTTAAAAATTAATTTAATTAATTGGTTATATAGAGATTTTATGTTACATTGTTTTAATTTATAATGATTAGAAGTAGCACAAAGACGTACATATATGGTTTTAAACTCTAAAGTCTCTATACCGTTAGTGAATTGAAAGACAATATTCCTAATTATATTGATATCGTAATAATGTAGCATTATTTTCTCGAGTTTTAAACTGTTACAAGTACGAGTGTATAGTTATAAGTACAAATAATTTATACTTCATATTGTAGTTGAAGTGTGGTATATAATGCATCTAGCTAGAATGTTTAGTTGGACATATTTTCTTAATTGATTACTCGTCTAATATTATCTATTAGTTTTCTAAATTATATCTCAAAAAATGGTGAATCCAATAAAATATGGTAAAAATGGTTTTATGTCATACATGAGTAAGTAAATCTTAACATTAAGAAAACAATATAATTCAGATATTTCTCATGTACATGTACTAACAATTATATATTATTGGTACAATAATACAAGTTATGGAGATCTTTATCTTTAAAATAGTATAAAAGGATATCAAAATTAGTTTATAACTAGTTTTATTACTTATGCATGGTTAAAAAAAATAAAAATCAGAAAGATATGTTTTGTATGTAGATATTGTTTGACGTTATTTTTTAAAATGAACAACTTTGTTCCTCTTTTTTTTTTTTTTTTTTTTTTTTTTTTTTTTTTTTTTTTTTTTTTTTTTTTTTTTTTTTTTTACAAGAACAACTTTGTTCCTTTAATATTACAACTTTTAATTCTTTACGAAGTTTTACAAAAATTTGCAAGACACTCATTTGTTGAAACAGTCACACTTAATTTAATAGTAGATGAGTAATAAGTTTTGCATTGCCTTTCTTGCTCTTCCTTTTTCTCACTAATTAAGATCATATCCATGTTGCAATATTGAAGTAATAGGGGAATATACAAATTCATTCTGATTACCTTTATTATTTATCGTCAACTTTATTTTTATTTCTTTGTTGTTTTGAAACTATAAGACAATTATGTAGACAAGATTTAATTCATTCTATGATTTGAATATCACCCTTGAAATTATAACCAACTAATTTAGTTGATCATTCACAATTTAAACAATCTTTTAATTTAGTGATTTATTATACCTCTATTATATATGATTTTCCACTTTTTTTTTATTTTTTATTTATCACTTTATATATTAGAATCACGTGAGATACGCCATAAATGTGAGGGATCTTTACACTCTTGTAATAAAACTATTGTAAACATTATATATTGAAATCTCTATGGATTTTGTTCACAATGCTCACAATGCCTAAGATATCTTTACACTCTTGTAAAACCATTGTAAACAATATTGAAATCTCAATGGATTATGTTCACAATGTCTAAAAAGTTACTTACTTACTCCATCACTTTATGAGCGTGTTTGGTAAGGATTTTTTTTTGGTTGAAAATGGATTCAATTAAAGCATTATTGTTACCAAGTGTTTGGTTATGTGAATATATATAACAATTACCATTACTTATGAGTAATGATTACCACTATTTGTTATATGTCTAAAAATTAAAATAACAATATTTACCCTTATTTAGAGAGAAAAATGGTCAAATTAAAATATAATAAAGATTAAAAAGAGATGAGGGAATTCCTCAAGTATTTAGACATAACCAAGCTTTATAATTTTTTCATTATCAAGCTTAGTATAGAGTATCACATAATCAAACTCAATATTATTACTTTTCACATTTAATTTAAGAATGAATCATTGTATCTTTTAAATACATTTCCCAATTGTCATACATAATTATACATATATTTATTACAAGTAATTTTTTTTATATAAGCAATATTACAAGTATTTAGTAAATGTAAATGATTGATCCGTAATAATTTTGTTTTTGATGAAAAAATTATTTATGGGTAACTGAAGAAATGCAGAAACCACAGAGCTAGGCAGAACAGAGAGCACACTCTGAGTCTCTAGGAAATTGGACTAACTGATCTCCCATTTATTTTATTTACTTAATCAAAAATTATAATCTTTTTAACCTCACACAAAATATTTAAAAGTTCCACCCCATTTCTTCATCATAATAATATAAAGTAGCACTTCACTTCCTCTTCAAAAAAAAAAAAAAAAAAAAAGAAAAAGAAAAGAACAAAATCCATTAAAAAAAGGATTTAAAAAAATTAATTAAAGAAGTAATTAATACAATAAAAAAAATCTACCCAACTTTCTTTTTTGGCTCTATTAATACTCAATCAACATCATGGTGTCACCCTCACAACTTGAAATCTTAGTTTTGACAAACACAAATTCTCCTTCAGAGTGCTGTCTAAGGCAGTATCTCTCTCTCTCTTTTTATGTTTTTTTTCTCTTCATTCTTCATTTTTCATTCCATAAAAGCATAAAACATTGGAGCAAATAAAAAAATAAACAATGTGTAATCCGCCTGAAAATAACCAAATTCTTACAATTTCAAAAACACCACCACAATATAATCATCCTCCCCAACACTCCAATATATATTTGGATCTTTTATCGTTAACCAATAAAAACGACGACGCGGAAAGGTTCACCAGCATTGGTGTTGTTGAGGTCGGAAATGTTGTTAGTGGTGATTCTGGTTCTGATCACAACAATAACAACGACCCATCATTGTTGTTTCCTACCGTATCCGACGTTTTAAAAGAGAGTAGTTCACTCTTTTACTTGGCATTTCCAATACTCTTAACCAACCTCATCCTTTACTCCAGGTCGATGATGTCAATGGTTTTCTTAGGCAGAATCGGGGACGCCGAGTTAGCGGCCGGTTCTCTAGCCATTGCGTTTGCGAATATCACCGGTTATTCGGTGTTTTCGGGTTTGGCTCTGGGGATGGAGCCTTTGTGTTCGCAAGCATTTGGTGCTTGTAGACCGAAGCTCCTCTCGCTTACGCTTCAACGGTGCGTGATATTCTTGCTGGTTTGCTGTTTGCCAATTTCGGTATTTTGGTTGAATATGTCAAGCATTTTGGGGTACCTTCACCAAGACCCAAATATTGGTAAATTGGCTCATATTTATATCACATTTTGTCTCCCTGACCTTTTTACTTATTCCTTTCACCATCCAATCAAGATTTACCTTCGTGCGCAAGGTATTACTCACCCTGTCACCTATGCATCCCTAGTCGGGGCCATCCTTCACTTTCCCATCATGTTTTTTCTTGTTGTTCACCTCGACCTCGGGATTGCCGGAGTTGCTGTTAGCAACTCCGTGTCCAACCTCGTATCACTAGGGGCCCTAGTGATGCAGGTTTGGCTCGGCGGGCTTCACTCTCCTACGTGGAGCCCGCCCAGCCGCGAGTGTTTAAAAGACTGGTGGCCCCTGGTGCGCCTCGCGGGTCCCAGCTGCGTCTCCGTCTGCCTGGAGTGGTGGTGGTACGAGATCATGATCGTGCTATGTGGCCTGCTCCCGAACCCCAAGGCATCAGTGGCGTCGATGGGGGTGCTGATCCAGACCACCGGGTTGATCTATAACTTCCCGGCCTCGCTCAGCAACGCCGTATCCACCCGTGTCGGGAACGAGCTAGGAGCGGGCCGGCCCAAACAGGCCAAGCTATCGGGTTTTATTGGAATCACCTGGGCCGCAATAATGGGCCTTACAGCTATGATGTTTGCTTATGGGGCAAGGAATGTATGGGCTAGGATGTTTACCGGAGACGTCGAGATCCTAGCTCTAACCGCAGCGGCGTTGCCAATATTGGGGCTTTGCGAGCTCGGAAACTGCCCACAAACGATAGCATGTGGGGTGGTAAGGGGGAGTGCCCGGCCAGCAACAGCTGCAAATGTGAACTTAGGGGCCTTCTATATGGTGGGGACACCAATAGCGGTTGGGTTGGCTTTCTATCTTGGAGTTGGCTTTTGTGGGCTCTGGATTGGGCTTTTGTCGGCCCAGATATGCTGTGCTGGGCTGTTATTGTATGTTGTTGGGACCACTGATTGGGATTATCAAGCACAACGGGCCCACTTGCTGACTCAAATTGGTGGGCCTGCCCCTTCTTTAGAATTAACGACAACCGTTGATTCATCTTTGGTCATGATTCATGATGAAGCTGATCGAATGGAGGAAAATGATCCAACTGCAGGTGAATCTGAGCCGTTGATTTCTATCTCGGTGACGTAATAGTATTTAATCGGTGATGAATAAACCTATTTAAAAATAATAAATTATAATAATAAAATTGGACTTTCTTTCATATACTCAGTAGAAATTTTAATTTTTTTTTTTTTTTTTTTAGATCGGTTAAGTAAAGATTAGATATTTAGTTATTTTTATTTTTACTTGCATTACATAGTTGGGAGAGATTGGCTTAAATGGGAGAGATTGGCTTTTAGAGTTAAGTGTAAAGAGGAAAGAAGACATTTTTTGTTTTCTATTTTCCTCTTTTTTTTTTCCCCACCTTTTTTTACTATCTCTCCATTAATTTAGTAAGGATTGTAATTAAGATATTAAACATAATTTGCAATATTACCTAATTACATATACATTTTTAGTGTATGTTTATTTATTAACTTTATATGTTTGATTTGATTATATTATACCTACGTTCTTTATTTTAAAAGGTACATTTAATTTGTGCATTACTCATCACCTATCTTAAATGGAAGAGTCTATATATATATATATATATATATATATATATATATATATATATATATATATATATATATATATATATATATATATATATATATATATATATATATTTCCCATCTTAACCTCTATAATCCCATCTTATTTTCCATCAATAATATGTACAATAAATAATAATTAGTAACTACTCATTATCAAATTAGTGTCAAGAAGAGCATTATCAAATTTATAGAAATGGCATGCGTCAATTGGTTAAAACATATGTTTAATTATCAAGAATGAAACTCATAATTTAAGATTCTTATAACATGCATTAAGATTGAGACATTTAAGAGTATAAGATTTATATATATCATCTATATTGTTTTTCGATCTTCCATATAAAGATACATATATACAACATACACGTAACATAACTTGTCGTGTACGTACTTTTTTTTTGTTTGCATGCATATAATTATAAGAGTTTATATTATATATATATATATTTTTTTTTTTTTTAAAAAAAAAAACTTATATAAGACGATATGACAGCCTGTTCTGGGTACAAATCTGAAAAGTGAAAATAGATAGTATATAGAGAGTTATTGTACATGTGTCAACAAGTGTAATATTGATTAATGGGGAGATTTTACTTTGACCTATATACATGTTTACAAACTCATGATCATTAATTAATTCCAGTGCATGGATGAAACTATTGTGCTTCATCCTATACATCAAAATTCAAAATGCTAGATGGGGACAATACACCCCATCTATCAATTTATTAAATATGTTTGTAAAATGAATGTATACATGCATCCTCATACAAATAATATGAAGAAGTGTAAAGTTGAATTGCATTAACCTGCCAGAGGTACGGGTTAAATAAAGTCTTTATCCTTGCCGATTTAAAATAAAAAATAAAAATGAATTATCTTGACTACTATTACAAGTATAAATTATTATTTTAAAAATAAAAATGAATTATCTTAACTACTATTACAAGTATAAATTATTAATTTTTTTCCGAAATTATAAAATTGGTGCAAGTATTTGTCAGTATATGAGGGATATTTTTTGGTAGCAAGTAGCAATAGCATGAAGGTTGGGGTATGAAAGCAACAGTAAATGAAAGAAGAAGCACAACAACCTTTTTGCAAGGGAAGTAGTAGTGGTAATTAATGATGAGCCAATATTTATAAATAAAAATCAGAGTTTCAGTGACACTGTCTTTTTTATTTTGGAATGTCTCGGAAATTCAGACATGTTTCTGGATTTTGAAAGAGTCTATACAATATAAAGTGTGTCAACTTATCGAACTAGTGCTTCTGCAAATTACCCATCTACCCAACTCATCTATTCATTATTATTCACTCATCACTACCTACTTGGATACATGTATAGGAAAATAGTATTATGCGAAATGTTTGGTTAACCTTGAGGGTTACTCGTAAAATAGATAAAGTGTTGATTAACTCGGGATAATTTAAGGTTATTATTTCGCTGTGTATTACTATTTAGATATTTTCTATTGTCAATTTAAATTATTTTGGTCTCGGACCAACATATATGTATGTAGAGGTTCCAACAAGGATTTAAAAAATATTCATCTAATAATTCTTGAATAATTAGGGCCTGTTCTAATATGTTTATTTTCAGTTCAGTTCAGTTAAGTTCCGTTCAGTTTAGTTCAGTTCCGTTCAGTTCAGTTTAGCTGAATTCGGCCTATGAGAACATGCCCTAAATTAGCTGCGCTATGGTAAGAAATATTGTACTCACAAGTTCACAATAATAATGCAAAACACTATACACAATGTAAATTTAATACTAGTATTAGTCTATAGTAACTCTTAATACTATTAAAAGGCGTTTTTAAAGATGTATATGTACTACGGAGTACGTGACACCTTCCTTAATCAATTGAGTTTTACATTCACGTGTTTAAACATATGGTTTGTACAAGATTTGAACCACGGCCTTAGGTTTAGAACAAGTGTACGACATCAAATTGTTAGTTGAACAATGTTATTAAACGCAATTGTATCATGTAATTAATTCATATTTTTGTTTACCTTATAATTTTGTAATAGAATAATTCCGATATTTCAAACTGCATACCAATTTTCGGTCTAAAAATACACACATAAAAAAAAAAAAAAAAGGCCGGCCAACTCATCAATATTATTGTGAAACTTCAATTGGTTTGTTTTTATGTCTCATTTTAGTCATTTAGAAGGGATACTCTTAATTATGCATTAATACAATAACTGGTGTAGCATTCAAGCATATTTGCAGATTTGCATTAATATTAGATCCTTTAATATAGCACAAGAGCCAGATAGGTTGCTAAATGGTCCATGTATGTAAAAAAAGAAGCAAGCTAAGCAGTCACTTAGAATTTTCCATTTTGTAGGAATTAAAGCTGGACCATTTTTTATTTTAGTTTCCATTTTCGGCTTGAAATTTTGCTTGTGGTCCTTGAACTAAATGCATGATCACTATAATTTTCGTCTTGTACTCTCTTATACCATAAATATTATTGTCCTTCAACTTCAAAAATGTTAGGTGAAATTTGATTACCTTCCCTTCAAATCTTAAGGCTTGTTCTGATTTATTGAAATGAGCTGAACTGAATTGATTGGAGCTTAACTAAACTGAATAGAGCTGAAATTAATATTTTATAAGAGAAAGAAATTAGAAACTGAGCTGAACTGAACTAAACTTAATTGATTGGAGCTAAACTGAACTGAAATAAAATTTAGCTGAATAGAACATGCCCTTATGCCAAATTTCATATACGTAGGAATGAATCTTTTACCATAGGAGGAAAAAAGTGTTAAATTGGAAATGAGCCTACAACACATTACGTGTCAATGTGTTGGTGAAGAGTTTTACCAATTTATTACCATATAAAGAATACGAGTTTATATGTGCGTGGTTTAATTTTATCACAATAATAAATTACTATAGGCGTAATAGTCTACTAAACTTTACTATATATGCTAGTTATTGTTTCCTCTATTCTTCTCCCATTTACAATAGCTCATCTATGAATTTCCTCTTATGTGGGGATATAGCAAGTTAGCAAGTTAGTTGAATTTGATATTACTAACATTGCTCACACGTGTCACGATCCAATAAGCTAAGCGAGGTATAGATTCTACAACATAACATAAAACATTAGACCATAAACACATGCAAATACTATGGAATATATATAAATGATGTTGAATGACATGTTGATCTAATTTGAATCCGTGGTTAAACTATATTTATTATTTACAACATTTACAATAAGCTTTTTGTATAGAATACTGAACATACACGTTACTATTAAAACATTGAGAATGATCCAACAAGTACGTGATGCATAGTGAAAGTCGTGCAACTATATATATAGGTATAGTAAGTTTAATACGCGAGATTGTGGATATAGACAATAGACTCACCTCCCGTGTCCGTGACCAAAATACAAGTATATGTGTAGTTTGTAGTTGTTTGGATATTACTCTATAGCAAGATCGAGCAATTGAGACAAAAGAAATTGGGCATAATTAACTGAAAATGGGACTCTTCCAAGTTCCATTACCATGGTTGCTGTTCTTGAATGGAAAAACAAAATAAACTTTTGTCCGGTTGTCCTTTTACTTATGTGCACACAAATTTCTCTGACCTTTTTTTTTTTTTTTTTTTTTTTTTTTTTTTTTTTTTTTTTTTTTTTTTTTTTTTTTTTTTTTTTTTTGCCAGTGAATGCACGAGGGTGCTATAATTTAAAATAATGATTAAATTAAAATAGATGTAGTATTTGAGGATCAAATTAAATCTACTCCATACAATTGATAGGAATATAAGGCTTTTTAATTTATTTTGGGAGGTAGATCATGAGCAATTGAGCATATATTACAAGTCTTTCACTGAAGTACATAATACAAAAGTTGATCGAATGATTGAAAATAATGTCTTGAATACATGGGTTACTTGATTTGTTCTAACCTAAAGATCGAAATAAAATTTAATATATTATTATCGGTTTTGTGAGAAACAAAATCTACCAGTTATTATTCAATAAAAACTTTTTATCAACAATAAGAATTGAGACAATGCAACTAGTTTGAGTGGTACATGCTTGGATTAGCTAGCTAGGTCATTTGAGGTCATTTGTAGATACTCATACATACGCTCAATCAATTCAATTTTACCATGCCTACATTCTTGTAGACAACTCCATTGATTAAAATAACAACGTATCAATTTATTGCTTTTTTTGCATATATATACTTGCTCTATCTATAAAATAATGATTTATTTTGCGAATTTAAATCGTTATTGTATTAAGTACTCCATACTATCCAATTGAGGCATATGTTGTCAAAAAAGACAGCAAGCAGGCAGGCGGCAGCACACAAATGTAGAATGCCCAAATCTAATAACAATAATAGTACTCCGTAAACAGCAAGCAAACTCGCACACAACCAACCTGGCTAATTGCTAGCTATACTACAATTATCCATAACACAAATAACATTTTAATATTTTTCTATATGTATGTATATTCAAATTATTTTGTCATTTACTATAGTTTGTAAACATAATTATATGCATGCATTACTATTGTATACGAAGTATATATCATTTGCCTGCCGTTGTGGTGTCACCATCACTTGA